GTAAAAATTATTGAAAAGAGAAAGAAAATTGTATATTTTAAGATTAAATATGACAATATTAAACTTGGAACTAATCACAAATTGCTTGTTTCAAGTTCTCTAAAATTATAATGTAGATATTAATTTTGTTATAATATAATATTACCCCTAAAAACTTATCTTTATTTGTGTCATTTTTCTCCTGTCATTTTTTTTTAAGCATATGAAAATCCAATTTGTATTACTTTCTCTAATTAAAGGTTGAATTAGAACATAATCCGTAAAAAATACAAAATTTGAAAAATTTCGACTTGTGTAACTTTTCTTGCAGAGGTGCAGTATACAATCATTATGCTACAAGATATTTGTAATTTCCTTATGGTTTATAAGAATACGATATCTATTATCTTGTGTCATAAACAGCGATAAGTAACGCGATTTCTCTACGCGAAAAATCGGATGGAACATCAGTCGTTCGGATAAAATGAGAGCATAAAGTACCACGATACGCAAAACGGCGTGTACTAGCACGATATAATATCCTCGTGAATATAGTAACATGGCAGCTTGAGCTTCTATCCACTTCCCTTAAACACGCTTAAACTGGCGGTGGTCGAGTACGTTTACGTAATACATGAATGTAACATTGCGTTACGAATACATGAATTCCTCTACCATAGAGAAAACCACACGAATCTGAAAATTTTGATTACCGTCGAGTTTCGCGATTACACACAATTACAAGTTTAATCAAGCCGCAGTCGCACCAAAAAAGATTGCGCTCGTAATCTACACGAACGGTTTTATTCGTAAATTAATTTTATTCTTGTTGCAAACATTCCAGTTTCTTCTTCATTGCATTTTTAAGAACCAACGGTCGAAGGACAGAACGAATCTCTTAGGAATCGTATTTCTTATTGAACAGCAATTCAGGAACGCTAACGTTTTAAATTTTTAGTAACTTGCAATTTTACGAACAAGGTAATTTAATTCTCTTGCTGTTTAAAAGATTCAGGTAAAATTCGAAGATTGCTCGACTTGCATTCTAAATAGAATTTTTTGCGTAACTCGTGGTAAGAGATAACAGAGTATTTAAAATTCCCTGAAAATTCCCAGATTTTCCAGATATCTTGTTCAAAATTTCAGATAAAATTAGAGAATTTTTTAATTTTGAAATAAATTAAAGTGCAAGTAAACTATATGCATTGAAAATTAGCAGAAGATAGAGTTTTCACAAAACTATATCTATCTTTTTCTCTAATTAGAGCAGCGAAACTTATGTAAAAGATAGTATAAGAAATATTTATTACAAAATAGTATCAACTACTTTATTCTGTTCACTGTCTTCTATTGTCAACTTGATATTTTTTAATAAAAGTTCGCGAAATACACGAGAATGTGCGCGGATGTATTATATATACCGTACTTATTGCTACACCCAGAGAAAGGTTTCTTCAATTCAAAGAAATGTTTCTTTGCTACATGGTTAAAGAAAAAAATTTCTTTAATTTAAACATAATTTTTTTAAATCAAATAAATGTTTTTTTTATTTTATTTGATTTAAAAGAATAATGTTTAAATCAAAGAAATGACGTTCAACATTTTGTATTGTCAAGAAAAATTATTAAAGTAGAAGAAAAAGATAGAATTTAAAAATAAAATTTAACCTGAGACCCAATACAATTCCTCGAAAAAAAATTGTCATTTTCAAAGATAAAAAAAGAACCAAATTTTTCTAAATAGTAAACATTGTAGATAATCCCTTTGCAAGACTTCATTATTTGTTTTGACTTGTTCTCGTCTCAACAATCTCGAGGTGTTCTTACTTTTCATTGACTTCCTTCGACTGACCGTCATATATGGCCGAGACATCCGATCGACAGTTTCGTATTGTCCCAGGAGCGCGAGAACTCGATAGTCTCGATACGAACTAAGGAGTCAAGAGCGGCAATCGGACAATTTTCGCGTAAATGCGCACACGATCGATCCGTGGCACGTTACACGCCCGTATAACACGTCTAGGAACGTACGAGTGATTTCGTCTATTCCGAATTTGCGGAACTTGATTGCCGCTATTCAGACTAGCTATCAGGATTGATGGTGACTGAGCCTGAATTTGCCCCTTGCAATATCAATTACCGAAACTATTATTAAAGAATCGAAAACGTGACAGGCCGTGAATTCAATTTGCTTAACGACTTCTTAATCTTACGTCATTCAACGCATATTTCGTAAAAGTTATACCAGCGAATCCCCTCTGCCCGCCTTTCGTGCACCGATTTTGCAGAACGATCTTAAAAATATTATTCATCGCGCAACTCTTTTTTATTATTTCCGGAAGAACAATTTTGCTGAAGTGTTTAAAAATTTAGCTATAAATACAGATTTGAAAATGTTTTTGTTGAATCATCAAAATAATTAAGTAGGAAACTGAAACGAGCAATCTTATAAAAAATAGACATTTTAGCAGCTAGCTTGAACATTTTCCATTATTATTTTGATAATCCCATAAAATTTTTTTCAGATCTGCATTCAGTTAAATTTTTAGATGTTTCTGTAAAACTGTTCTTTTCGTGCAAATATTTGAAGGAATTTTATTTTATCAATTATGTATGTCAACTATAGAAAGAAAGAACTCAAAGTCGACAAGAAAATATTGTTTTCGTATCTCTATTCAGAGAAAAAGACATAGTAGTAACAACTATATAAAAGTTACAACTGCAGGTGCAAGTTTTACATGTAGATTTAATGTATATACGAAAAGTTTTACTGAAGTATTATATTTAAAAGTTTAGCTAAATAGATCTGAAAATAATTTTATTGATCAAAATAATAATATGTAGAATGCTTGATAATAAAGAAACAAATAATTATGTAGAACGCTTGATAATAAAAAACGTTGATAATAAAAAAAGTTTTCATATTCCAATAACCAATTTAAATATAATTATTTTAATGGTTCGAACAAAATTATTTTTTTTTACATATATTTCTAATTAAATTTTTCTTCAGTAAAACTTACTTTCTTTAGCAAAACTATTTTTTTTGCCAATTTTTAATTACAAACTGCAAACTGTAAAATAATTTTTTCAAAACTACATACATTAATTCTATACAGATATGAAACTTATGTAGCTATCATCTTTACAGTTGCTATCATTATGCTTTTCTAATTGTTTCTAATATATTATATACATTCATATCTAAAAGAATATTAAATACGAGAAAAATTAAATAATTAAAACACGACAAAATTAACTAATAAATAATAAAATCGAGCAATAACTAATAATAGACAAGCAATAATCACTTACCGAAACGCAAATCAGCAGCAGTTGCCTCTCCCGATTGATTCATTACGTCCATTTCCTCCATGCTCCACAATGTTCCTGGATACACCGGCGACATACTTCCACTGGAAATAATAGAAAATTAACTAATGAGTAACAGAACTGAGCAGTAGTAATACAGTACAATAATAGTCAAGGAATAATCACTTACCGAAACACCAATGAGTTGCTGTCATCTCTCTCAGTTAATTCATTATGCCCATTCCCTCGACGCTCCTCAATGTTCCTGAATTCACCGGCGATATACTTCCATTCACACTCCTGAATAATAACGTGAAATGCGGGATTATGACATGTCCGTGGTACAAATCCGCACGTCAATTCGATACGACGCGACGGAGAGTGATCGACATCGATCGAGGATTGACTAGCGCGTTCGCGCCTTTTTTACTCAGAACTCTCGATATTTCCCGCGTAAACGCCAAACACGTCAAAATGGTGGATGAGTCGCTCGCGCATTTCGCGGACGGTCGCGATCGCCGACTCCGACTAATTCGTCACAATAGCGATCCCTCGCGATACTCCCCTCGACGTTCTTCGATCACGACGATGCTCTCTCGCGTCCTGAATGATGAAAATCTTCCTCATCGTTCTAACCGCCCTCACCACGCTCGTCGGATGAGCGACAAAGAGAAAACGAAAACGCGAAGTGACGCGACACCCGTTGATCACGCATACACCGAAAAACGCGGTCATTCGCAGCCGTGCGGGCTGACTGATACGATGAAATGATCGACCATCGTTAAATTCGACACTCCCGATCTTCATTCGTGTGCGGAATTCACCCGAGATGACTAAAAAGACGCGATAATGCAAAGCAATTGCGATCCTACTGCGCAGTACGTGTACCGATGCCGTTTGACTCGCGAGAAATGTGTAACTAATTTGAACCAATCACGTGATTTGCGGCCAACTTCGCGCGCTCATGCGACGCGGTAAACTTGTTTTCCAGCAGCCCAACGTCTTGATATGTTGAATATGTGAATATAAAATGTTGTTGAATAGATATTAATTATTATATTAAATGATTAGAAGAAAATTCAATTATTAAGATATTTTATAAGTTTGCATAAAATATAAATATTATATAAATAAATAAGAAATTTGTTTAAAGCTTGTTCTATTTCATATATAATATTTATATAATATATTCAAATAACATAATATTTAAAACGCCATTTAAATCTAAATCAATACTTTAAATAATAAAAAAAAAAATTATAAGATAAATATCTAAAATTTTGTAAAACATAAATGTTATATAAATAAGAAATTTGTTTAAAATATAAATGTATATAAATAAATAAGAAATTTGTTTAAAACTTGTCCTATTTCGTATATAATATTTATATAATATACTCAAATAACATAATATTTAAAATACTTTAAATAATAAAAAAAAATTATACGATAAATGTCTAAAATTTTTTAAACCCAATTAAAAATAATTGTCAAACTATGTATGACGTAATTCTTATTTTTTTCAATTATTATAAATATATTATTATTTAAATATATTATTATTTACATAATATAATTGAGCACATATGTGTCCCCTTAATAAACAGAATAGTTATAAACAATAACAATAGTTGTACATATTGCTGGAATAGTATTTCTATGTAATTATATTATTCTTACTATTCACGATGGCACATATTTTTGTTACAGGGAATTTGTTCGTGATAGCGGCTATTCTGTTAGAGCGAAACTTACAATCTGTAGCAAATTATTTAATTGTCAGTTTAGCTGTCGCGGATCTTATGGTCGCCTGCCTCGTAATGCCTCTCGGAGCTGTTTATGAGGTACGTATTAAGACTGTAAATTATTATCATGCATTTTCTCTACAGACAAATTATGCCAAATGATTGGCAAAAAAGAGTGCGAGCTTAAAATTTTTTGCAAATTTGACAAAATGCGACGTTCGCGAAATTTGTGTAAGAGGAACGATTCATATTTCCATCAGCAATGTCAATGCCAAACTATCGTTGTCAACAGGAATAATGAATATTGCAGAAATTTTAAAATATGGTGGACTTGACCTTATACTCACATTTATAAAATACAAAACGATAGTAAAACATTATATAATTTCTGTATTATAATAACCTTTACATGAGAAAGAATGGCTAAAACATTAAAAAGTTTAGCTAAATACATATAATTTTATTGAGTTATCAAAATAATTATGTAGCATGTTTAAGCTAATTGCTGGAATATCAAAATTTTACAGCATTACTCGTCATACTTAAATTTTCTACATGATTATTTTGATGATTTAAAAAATTAGTTTTACATTTTTATACTTATGTTAATTTTTAGATACAGCAAAATTGTTTTTTCCAAATAGCAATGAGTAATTTGGCAATGTTCAATATTTATTAAAGAGTTGGAAAAGTTATTTTCAAAAAAAGTCGTTACCATTATTCGTTATTCATTGTAAAATATCATTACACGATACCCAATAGAAAAAGTAACTCGTTAGCGTTATCAAAAGAAGCATTCAATTAGAATTTCCGTTACCTTTTTACTGATTTTTATGATCTTTTTTTAGAATGACATCCAATTATCTGTATCGCTAATTGACTACTTCAACACGAAATATCTAATAATTATACATATATAATTAATTGCAACATGGTCAAACATAACACTCCCTTCTATATACATATATATATCTTATGTATACAAAGTAACGATTATATTCATTACTCAAAAAATGTGACTTAAAAAGTACAACTGCATTTATTATCAATAAAAAATATAATATCGATACCAATTTATTACTAAAATAGTAAGTATAATTATAACGGCGTAAGGCATTACTTCTCTAGATTAAATAATTAACTTAAAACATTCATCAGTAAGATACATTTTAGCGTACATATTGGACGACACGTGTACATTAATTTTTTTACATTTTATTACAGCTCGCATTCGCGAAATAAAAATTTTTCAGTAAAACTGTCGAGGTGCCGGCCAATCTCTTCGTAAAAATACCATTCTCTTTCCGCGCATTACACTTTCATTAAACATTAACTTATAGTTCGTTGCAGCCATTTACAAGTTATAACATCCGTACGAAACCACGTGTATTCACACTCGTTTCTTACACGGTTTTACGACAAGTCATGTATTTGTGAAAAAAAAATCAGTACGAGACGCAGTAAACGCACGCATTCTTCGTGGATTTTGACACTTAAACGCCAAATTCTTTTTAACAAACTTTGCGAGTTTGTTAATTACGTGACGACAGCAAAATATTCCGAGAAAGAGTTATACATCGCAGTTGCGATTGCAGCAATTTATTGTGCTCGAGTTTCACAAATTTTCGCGGGGAATTTCAATAATGAAAAGAATTGCAGAAAATACGAATTACGCAGAAGAATTTAACAATAATTTATTAACAAGCGAGACTTTGATTCGTGAAAATTACGGTAAAATTCACAATCAATTACGTATAGTAATTACGATGAGATAATTTACAGTGACGATCACTTTTCATATATGACACGTCGCATAATTAAATGTTTAATATTATATATCGAAATTTCGGGAAAATACAAGTGGAATTTTAACGCACGCATTTTATTAGAATTTTATTTCGATCGTGGCATTTTATAAATGCCACAATCTCAAAAAAAGACTTTAATGTCACGACTGCGATGCTTTAAAAGCTGAAGCAGTTTTCTACGCCGAGATATCTCTTATGTTGTTTCCAGCGCGAATGCAAACAATGGGGAACGTTGTTACACATATACATATTCAACAATTAACGCGCGAGTATACAGAGATAACAAGCGATATAGCTATGTACATACAAATGATTAGCTTTCGATTCTCTGTTCTAGAGAAATGCGCTGCGCCGTGCATTATATTTAATAAGTGTCAGTAAATAAGCAGAACCTTACATTTTACACCATAACAGGAATAACATAAAGTTTAATTATAGCGACGTTATTTAATTAATAAAAATTTCAACTGAAATTATTTTTTACCGCGAGAGATAATACGTGCATCCTAGCGTGATCATCACGTTATATCTTCAATTACGATTCGTTTTTAAGCACGTTCTACACTTGAAATACAGCAGAATTGATAAACGTCAGGATAATACGCAGAAATTCGTGCTGATGATACGAATTTGACTACAATCGCGCTCTACATAATAATATTTCCTTGTACCCGCTTTTCATTCTGGAATATATCCATTCAACCTGATTATCCTCTGTTTAACGGAATTTTTCCGATATATATTATATATACATCCTTATTTAAATTCCTCGTTTTCCTAACGCAACTTTTAAACACAGCTTCTCATATCTTATCATATACTTTGCGCTTCTGCATGTATCTCATCTCAGTACTTTTTTTCTCTTCTTTTCTCATTCCACTTTTCTCTCATATTATATTTCCACACTCTCGCTACATTTTATGACACGCACCGCGTCCTTCTCGCTTTTCACAGACGTCTCCAGCGTAAAATAAGTTTCTCTCTTCCCATCATCATGTTCTTTAAGTCCTCTTCATCGTCGCTGGCGTGTCAATATCTCTCCCGCTTTATCATTAATGTGGTGCAATTTTATCTCAACTACCATTCAGCCGGCGCATTAACAATTTTTACCGCCATGTACTAGATCGACGCGCGCATCCATCCTCTTAACACGGACACGTAGAAATTTATACGTCTGCCGTTTAATCCGAACATTTGATGGATGTCCGCTTTACAACCGCCTCTTTCACCCGTTTATCGGCGGACGCCAGAAACGTGCACGCGAACGACTTCATTAACTGCGCGTGTACACGCGACGCTTGATTAAACCCTTTGGAGACTCTAGAAGATGCTCGATATGAGAAGAATTGTTAAGAAGGAGATTTGCGTCAACGTTTTAGCCGCGATTGTTGTCGGTAATCGCACCCAACTAACGCAAAGTAATTTCTCTGAGTTTTAATCAGTTACATAATTTATTCTAACATTTTCAGACTTTATTTAAAAATAAAATTTCTCGTGTGATTTTATTTATTCAAACTACTATTTCCTTTCAAGTAATGTTAAAGATGACTACAAAAATGTAGTCAAAATATTCATGAAGAAACTTATTTGGAATTTCATGTAAATTTTATCAAATTAATATATTGATTATTAACAATTTACGCATCATTTATCGCACTAACTCTCAATTTAATTTTCCTTTTGAAGTAATACAATCTTTACAGTGTACAATTTCTGTAAACATTTCTAATAATCTTCCTTTGAAACGAAATCTTTGAAATCTATATCTCATGATTTCCAAAATCGTGTTAAAATCTTGCTCTTTCAATTTCATTTCCAACTTTGAAAGAAGGAAATAGTGATCAGGGAACTATAGATGAATACAATGGATAGTCAAGAACTAGGACACTCTTAAGTTCACTATTTGCTCTATCATGGTTTTCTCGACGAGCATAAAAAAAAACCTATTCTTATTCTTTTTAGTTTCATAAATAAATAATGTAATGTAAAAAAACTCAACAATAGAGTTAGAAAAGTTTCGGAGAACAGAATTCCATATTATTTCAATGGATATATAATGTAGAAAAAAAGTATAGAAACTTTTGAAAAGGATCTTAATTCAAATTTTAAAAAGAAAGTGGACGCGGTAAAACTTAAATTACTTTCCGCTTTTTATATTTTATAATTACGTATACTTCGATTTAAAGGTACAAAAATATTTAATCTAAAGATTACTGATAAGATAAAAATACAAGGAATTTAAGTTATAGGAAAAGTTTAATACGGATATGTATATAATACAAAAACATCTTCATACTCTTATAGAAATTTGATACTAGTACTAATCAATTTATCAATTACTTAATATTCAAGTAAATGATTATTAGATAAGCGATTGACTATTACTAGTATTAAATTTTTAATAATTTCACGTATGATAGATTGTATTATACCATCCCTTGTCGCAAGAATCTTTGCGATCCTTGATGTTAAAACTGCTTCTCCATCGACTTCCGTATGCTACTTTTGAGAGGTGTTTATATTTCTGGAAGATGGATGCGACTCATCAACTTCCGGAATGTTCTAATCTCAAAGTATAAAAGAATGGATGTATATTGGCGAAGAGAAGCCGCTGTGCTGAAAGGAGGACAAGAGACGATTGGCTTTCAACGATAGATTCCAATACCATGAATGGACTTTTAAGCAGGCATGAATCAGTTCTCTTCTCCGTTTTCTTACCAGCTCTTCTACAACATCACTCTTACTATCTTCCTTCATGTGTTTTCCGTTGTCCCTCCGTCGACCATGGCTCAGCTCGGATGTTTTCCCTTTCGACCCTCAATCCGTATTTTCTCATGCTCCCTACTGCGTGGAAAACTGTCGCCTGAAACTATGTGCAATCCTTAACATATTGATCAATCGAACGCAATACATACATATAGAGTGAATAAAAATAAATGTTATTTATCCAACGATATTTGATGTATAAAAAAATAGCATTAATTTTTGCATTTTCATAAAAATATTATGATAAAGATGACACGATCTTGAGAAGAATTCTAGTAAAGAAAAATTAATCTCAATATGACGAACTCAGCTTTTTTCAAAAAATTTAGTTTTTATCAAAACATTTTTATTTACTTTATTACTTATAATTATTTTATCAATAAAGATACATATACATTTACTTAATACCGTAGTATTTCTTAATGTCTGGTGTTTAGATTGAATAAAAAATATGCTAGGATATGTTCATTTTTATGAAAATTATAAGTAAAGTTGAATATGCCATACATAATGTATTGCACCCGTGATAAAATAATATATTGTGTGTCATGGAAAGATTATTGATGCTTATTAGAGATGAGATTAAATAACTTACAAGTAGATTGAATCTGTTGGCGCAGTTTCAAACTCTTTTTGAGTTCTTTATCTTGATAAAGATGAAATAAAAGTCTTTCTTCCAATTAGACTTGAACCTCAGATACGTTCGATCCTTTGTGAAAAGTAAAAACTTTATGTTTCTCCGAATCAAAACGTTTGTATAAAGCAACAAATGTTATAAAGATTGTAATTGTAAATTGAATATTATTAATTTTATATTAACAATATTATGTATTACTACAATTTTTATATTATGTTTTTTAAACTAGTAATTTCATTCTTAGAAAGAGTTCGAGTATTATTCTTAAAAGATTCGATTTTTTATGATAAAAAGTTTCGAATCTTGTAGAAACTCGTTCTAAAATTCGAAACTAAATAGAGAGAGTGGAGATTAATGACTTTATAAGTAATATACGAAATATTTCTTATGAATATCACTCAAAGCCTAGAAAATAAAACTTGATTATTGGATTTGACTTAGATTTTTAAATATGTATTAAACTTGATTTCTATTCATATAATGCTTATATTCTAAAAATTCTAGATAGTGCAGAGTTAAAAAAAAATGCAGTCGTTATACGTCATTAACTTAGAATTCAGACACAAAAGGAATTCTTATTCTAAACAAGTCTGAAAAAATTTCTTTTTCCATCTAAAAATGAACTCAGAATTTATAACATATGACTGAATTCTTTTTGTATCTGAGATTACTTTCATAGCTGGGACAATGAGCGAAAAGAGTCAATGGCCATTTAGTTGGAGGGTTTAACTTATTTCGAAACACTGATGGAAATCTTGTGATTCCCGCATCGATTTCTCGCTATGCTCGCACGGTACGCTAAGCTCACGCTCTCTGATGGATAATTCTGTTTATTGCAGATAAACTCGGGATGGTCACTCGGTCCGGAGCTCTGCGACATGTGGACTAGCAGCGACGTTCTGTGCTGCACAGCCTCGATATTGCATCTGGTGGCTATCGCGGTCGACAGATATTGGGCAGTCACCGATATCAATTATATACAGGTTAATTAACGCCGTTGCGGTTATCGAGAGGAAGTCGGAAATTGTCCGGGATACGATGCGAACGATACGGTCTTTGTTATCCGCTGTCGCTGACACTGCCACTTGCCACGCCACACGCCACGCCGCGAGATAGGGAAGAGCCGCGCGGGAGTTGACATAATCGAGATCGTGACGCGAACGGAACTACATATCGTCTCGCAAATCTCTTTGAATACCCAGAAGATCGCAACATATGGAAATACAATTTTATCAATTCGGGAATGGTGTGCATAGGATTTCAATAGGATTTGACGCGCGAAAATCTGTGCATTGCAACTTTATATAAAGTATCTGGGAAAATTTTCCATCGCTCGTTATAATTCTTCTTTTCCACAGATTTACACGTATTTTATAATCATTCGCAAAAATTTAATCTTCTTCTTTTCAGAAATTTTCTAAATTTTCAACACATTTTCAGTTTAAAACCCAGACGAACGTTTATTTTATTCCTCTATCTATCGAAAGTGTAATAAAAGTCCGATTCTTCCTCGATATTCAAGTCTGCAAGACAGATATTTCAGTATACTCGGATCTATACATTTACTGCGAAATAAGGTCATGAAATCGCTCATAAATTTTCGTCGAAATTTGGGCGGAGGCAAATTTCTCTCTCTCTTTCTCGTGCGCGCAGGCTGATGTAACGAGAATTACAGGGAACACTGCTCATGAAGTATGAAAAAGGGTAAGACCGTAAAGCGAAACGACCAGGATATCCCGTCCATAAATATGTCTGACTGGTATGAGACGAGTATGTTACGTAATACCTTTGGTACATAGCCTCTCTCTTCTATGGATGGTTCCGAGTTAGTTTGGAATTAGCTTAAAGCTCGATAAGCTGCGTAGCGATCAGCCAGCCTGGTCGAATTTAATAGCTAACTTGCATTTCCCAACTGATGGAAAGAGGCGTGTATCGGCCCCTTAACTGGCAAGTCAATTATCTTGCAAATAATGGAGCATGTGAGAAATTGGCTTGAATTTATGTATCCGGCGAGGAGATATGCAGATAAAGCAGGCGCCGCAATTTTCTCAAACAAGCGGAATAATTATAAACTCTCTTTCTCTCTTCAACTCTTAAAAAAACTAAGTGTATGAGCAAATCTAATTAAAAGTTTAATTTACTGATGCAAGACAATATTCTTAGTAATGCACGCGATCTCGCGGGAAGTATAAAATTTATCGAAGCAATAAAGTATTATGTTCTAATTTTAGAGTTTTATAAAAATGCATTGTAATAATAAAAATTTATGTAACATAATATTTGTAGCTTACACCACTATATACAAAAAATATATTGTATCGAAGTAATAGCATCGTAAATATTTAAATGGCACGTACTAAAAATTACTTGAAACGTATGTAAAAAAAAGTAAAGTTAGTTATTCTTAGAACTAAACTAAAGTCAGTTAATCTTAGAACTAAAACTTAGTTCAGTTAGTAATAAAGTTTACAGCTAAAAATAAAATGACGGAACATACATCATTAACGCTGCCTTCCCATTTTAAGGCAAGGAATCCGAGAAGAATCGGCATCCTGATCATCACCGTGTGGGTGGTATCCTTAGGAATCTCATTAGCGCCTCAGCTCGGATGGAAGGATCCTGATTATTTGGTCCGCATAGCCCAAGGGACGTGTCTCGTGTCGCAGGATCCTGCATATCAGGTGAGCGCTTCCGGAGAATTGCGAGCAGATCCAAAATACTTGATTAATATTCGTGACTATAGGAAATGCGCTCGTGTATTCTCGCAGACTAGAAGTGTTAACACTTCGAAAAACGCATTTTTCGTTCTGCGTAATTACACGGAATTTTTAGTTGCTCCTAATAGTCATAGACAAACTTTCGTCTCTTTCAGAGAAGATCTTTCAGAGAAATTATAATACACATATCAGGACATCTCAGTAGAAATTCATCTTTCATTATAGCGATATGAATGTCACCTAGAGCTAACTTATAATTTTTTAATGTGGAAGTGTATGATATATTTATGACGTATATTATTTTTAAAAAATATAATAAACTAAACACTGTATAAATAAAAATAATTAAGTATAAAGAAAGATCGAAATAAAACTTTGGTGCCTACCAATATTTATATGTACATTTTAAATACATCTTCCGACTATATAAACTATGCGTCAATTATGATCAGACTTGAAACGCAATTATAAATTGAAGCTAAAATCATAATGTTATAAATTAAATTAATCATCAGTTTAAAAATGTATATTATTTTACAGATTTTCGCAACTTGCGCGACGTTTTATGTCCCACTTCTAGTTATTTTATTCCTGTATTGGAGGATATTCCAAGCGGCGCGAAAAAGGATTAGGAAGAGGCCTGGCACTATTCTTCAACCGCCGCGTGAACGAAGAGGCATCCTCAGGCTCGTCACGAGAAGGTTGTAGCCTTTTTTGTTCCTTTGTTGATGTTACGATGTCAGAATCCCTATCTAAATCTGAAACGTGTAATCGAAGATGTCACCTTTCGTAATTGCAATAAACTTGAAGAGCTCGAGGGATAACAATGCGCTAAGCCACGTAGAATAAATCTCACAGTCGAGCTGCTGAGAAATGGCGTAAATCCTTCACAAGATTTAGTTTGCTCCCCTAATATCTTGCCAAGAACGCATTCTTTATGGGGTTCATAATTTAACTTGTAAATAAATATTTTTATAGCACGCAGTATTTTATCTCAAGTGACTTAGCATGCTCTAAGCATTTTTATCTCAATGACCAGTGCAGGCCTTTACTACGAGAACAAAGGTATGATTTTACCTGTTGATCGTTCTATCATAAAAAGAATATTATCACTGCTTAATAGTTATATCTTTTGAGCTCTGTCGCTTTTAAAATAAATTTATTTTTAAATTTCAAAATAAGTGTTTGATATTATAAATATTAATCTGCCATAAATAATTCTTTATTAATATTATTGTATAATGATTTGATTAATATCGCTCCGAAACAACATTGTTGTAATTGTTTTTCATCTTCAAATAAGTATTAGGTGTTGGAATTAATTCGTAGCGTTTTACAAGAGATGGGAAGTACTTTCATTAATGTATTTTTTAATGCTCATGTGAAATAAATAACATTCTTTCATTAAAAACGCTACGAATTAATTCCAACACCTAATATAAATAATCTTATATCTTTCTATCATTCCTTTAGACTTCTATTAAACGGAAAATAATTTTTCTATTTATTCATCTTGCTTCAAAATTCATTCAAAATTCACGTAAACTCACGAACTATAACTTTGCAACATATTATTTCTTTTCTAATTATTTGATATCAATTTTAATAATTATGAACATAATAATTAGTTCTATTATTAATTCGTATTCTATAGTAATAGTAAATTAATGTATCTTCCGCAATTAGAATCAGAGAAACGCTGTATCCAAATACATATGTATTTAAGAAATGAATATACGACTCTTCATATATACAGCCATCCTTCCATCGCTTCTTCACCATCTTTTCTTTCATAAAAATTCTTAATATCGCCAATCCCACGTCGTTATTCATGCAATAACAAATCGATGATGGATGAGCTTCTCTCATTCCCTCCCCTTCTCTCTCTCTCTCTCTCTCTTTCTCTCTCTTTTGACCAGCATAATTATGATTTATCTGGTGATAGGCCGCGCGAGGAGTCGACGGCGTTCACCATCACGAGAACTACGCCAGACCACTCGTCCATTTCGCCGGAGAAGTCATCGTCATACAACGGCGCGAATGCCACACCATCGACGACGGTAACACCGACGGCGATCTCGACGACGACGACCACCACCACCACGACGACGTTGACAAATCCGACCAGCACGAGCCAGCAGCCGGTAGTCAAGTGCACGAAGCGCACACGCGAGACGATCGAGTCGAAGCGCGAACGTAAGGCAGCGAAGACCCTGGCGATCATCACCGGTGCCTTCGTCGCCTGCTGGTTACCGTTCTTTTTCACCACGCTGCTGCAAGCCACATGCCAGACTTGTAAGCCACCCGAAGTCGTGTCCAGTGTGTTCCTATGGCTCGGATACTTCAACAGCACCCTCAACCCCGTAATTTACACTGTGTTCTCGCCGGAATTTCGGCAGGCATTCAAAAGGATGCTGTGCGGTGGTACACGGGGACTTCGCTGACAGTGGATTTAATTCCTTTGCTCCGTGCGCGCGACCGGATAAAGAGGCTACGTGAAACTTTTGTATATGTATATATATATATATATATATATATATGCACTCGCTTGCTATCCAGCGGTTTCCTCGGTGTTGTGTAATATCTGGATGCCCAACTCTAAGTATTGTTATATTAAATGAATACTCGCGCGGTTTTCGCTGCGTATTTTAGATGCGAGAATATTGAGAGAAATCAACAATTAATATTATATTTATTTTTAAATATTTTATCAAACGATTCTCAAAGAAATTTAATAAGTATGTCTCATTTACAGGTGCAATTATTATCTTATCTTGTTAATGCATTCTCTATGTTTTTATTAATGATGTCTGAATACTATCATCAATTTTAGGATATATTGTTCAAATCCTTGTATCAAAATCAATTCAGTCAGCATCTAGACATGATGGACAGTGTCCAACACAATACCATTTCTTCTCCTTACAGCTGTTCAAAGTAATCAAGCCCGCGCCGTTTCTCTCGTAAATATTATTAATGAGTATAACTCGTTCTCGGAAATTGAAATTCCACTCGCGATTGGCGTTAATTACATTTAATGTTAGTCAACAACGATGAGAACGAATCTATCTTAGATAGATATTTTTGCGAAACGCTTCCCTAAATCACCGAAGAATCAAACGAGCGACAATGGTGCAACATTACTCGCGATTTTGTTTAAGCGGGCGAAAATATTTCATTGTGTATTGAACATAGATATTTCAATTTATAAATTTAATTCGCCAGAATAGAAGTCAGAGCACATTTTAATGCGTAAACTGGCCGGCACACATATGACTTACAATTAGTAAAAATTCTTGTCGCTCAAAAAACGTAAGTTTAAGCTACAATTATAGATTTTTTTAATTATATAGGATAAAAATGTGGATAAGCAGAGGGCCAGAGTATCTAAGTAATATAGATGCTTAAAATTCACAATCTCCAATATTCTATTTAAACAAGGAAAATGTGGACGAAAATGGATAGTGCTTGTAGTACTTAATCGTAATATATGAAATAGTTGACATAATTGAAGTGAGAATACATACGTCTCGTATTTTGTCGTCCAAAAAATTCTTTAAGATATGCTCTGATAATGTGAAAAGAAAATCGCGAGGAGTGCTTTTACCGAATTATAATTGTACAGTATTGTGTATAAGCGGGCGATAGTGTTTAGCGATCATACTTCCGAGCATTATTGTTAAAATAGGTATGTATAAAAGTTTTCGATCTTGGCTTGCCTCCAAAGTACGTACGTAATGACAAGTCTGAGTGTACATTAATTGAAATCGCGACAGAACGAATACATTACGAATGAGTGGTAGGATTCCCACAGATCTGTATGTATGTGTGTGTGCGTATGTTGTGTATGTCGCGATCGTGTATAAAAGTCCACCTTTGAATAAAGACGCAACTTCAAGCTCGACTCGTGCTAAATACATCTTTGCGCTTTTCAACTTGATTCGAAGTTAAAAGTACAGTCTTATACAAATTAATGTGTGAACAAGAGATAATTTTTAGATTTATATACATTTATTACATAAAAAGAATTTACATAATGTTTATTACTGTATTTTTTTATAATTGTATTGTATAATTAATATGTCCTCTAAAAATATTGTAATAAACACTGTACATCATTTTTATGTAATAAATGTAATAAATATAAATTAAAAAATTACCTCTTATCCATACACATTAATTTGGACAAGACTGTACTCTTTGAGAAATTTCTCAAGTGCAAAAATTTTCTTGCCGCCTTACGAAGATTTGCTTACACACAACTTTTCTCATACGGAGTTTTTTAATAAAAAACTAAATAAGAAACATCCAACACGAGCAACAGAATTAAATAGAAAGGTCGCAACATTCCCTTTAACAACGTATGCGTGTGTGTGCATTGCAGATTTATTTTCACGAATTACGCTTACTGTAAAATAGATAATAATTATAAACGAGAGACGATTATAATAAATATAATATGAAGGAAAGAAACACAGATGTGGCAGTAAAATATTGCGATCTAAGCTTATATCGTGGATGCAATGTTAGAATCAAAAAATGATTTCACAAATTACCTCTGTCTAAAGACAAAATTATATGATATCTGGAAATGTAACTTTAGCCTTGCCATTCAATTCTGCGTCTTATAGACGAACGTAAGCCTTTGAATTTACGTAGTAGTAGGGTAACACATCCAGTACATACTATAATAATACTACATAATATGGCGAATGTTTAATTTACAGAGCAACGACTGATCGGAATCTGCGTTCGCATATTAAATGAATAAGAATTGAAAAGTGACACTTTTTGTTTGTAATGTCTACTTCGAAATGTCGAATACAAGTGCACATGCATTCATTTCGTTTTTACGTCAACTTATGAGCCACTAGGTGCTCGTTTAGAAGTAAACATAGTTCTAGACTAATTATAATGTATTAGGCAGATTGTGATAAACGGCGACAATAGCTTTCTCTTCGTCAGAAATGGCAAGACTTTATTCCATCTATTATAATTTTCAAGTATACACAAATTAACATAAAATAAATGTTTTCTCGCTTAAAAAAGTTATAATAAAGAATACAGAAGATATATATATATATATATATATATTTGAATTTACTTTTTATTCGTATTCATGATAATTTTCTTTTGCTAACTGCTTATTATTATTATTATGAGCTAAACAATATTTACTGAAGTAAAATGTAGAATTAAAAAAAAAGAAGAATTACTAACTAATATATATATAAATTTTACTTTTTGTATCAGTTTAGACTGCTTAAATTAAAAATGGATAAATTTTTTTCATTTCTGACGACAATTGTTGCTGAAATGACGGCAATATCAGATACGCTTGCGCTATCTAATTATATCACTGGTTGTCGTTTTACTCACACGACATGACTAATAAAATATAACATTTTCTTCACATTTATTTTTTATGTAAGTCTCCAAGCAAAAAAGTGAGACGTTGTCTGCCGAACATTTTCAGCAATTTTTAGGGACGTTGAAAAATCATTGACATCGCAGTAGCTCAAGAAACAAGAAAAAAATTATGTTACGAATATTTTTATTGCAAGAATTAAATTTATCGCGAAAGATTATAAGAGTACCTACATTTTTGCCTGACAAAAGTTGAACTTTGCAGATCTAAATATCAGTCAAAGGACAACAAGCCCTAATAATGTTAAAGCATTGATAGCATTGCTCGGTACATCGAACAATGTTTGATGTGGTTAACACTCATTAATAACGTTCTGTCAAAGTGTCATAACAAAATTGATCAGAAGCAATTTGCATTTGTGAAATGCGAAATAGCTTCGACGATATACGCAGCAAAATGTTCAGTGGATAACGAGATATCGGATAGATAATGACGTAATCACGTAATGCTTGTAAATCGACAAATAATCGTATCAACGATCGTTTGCGTTCCTGCAAATATTGCCTCATGTAAGAGATATGGGAAAACATTAATGAAATTACGAGCGCGTTTTAGACGAGAGCCGAGCGCGGAGAAGCAATGAGATAAAACGGATGGTAGTCGGCAAGATAAATATTATCCAGCGAATTAAGTCTATAAGACCACGTAATCATCCAGATGAAAACTTGTTGATATAAATGCCAGGTATTGTTGAAATCTTATGGAAGCATCGAAAGAAAATAGAGGAAAAAAGGAAGAAAAGCAATAGAAAAGAATAAGAGATGAGAAAAGAGCGCGGACGAGACATGTATTTACAACGATGCTTCATGTGTATTTGTCTTTGCAATCATAAAATGAAATAAATCACGGAAAAGTTTGGAGAAACTTGCCTGAACTTGCTTTTCGTGTTTACAACATCAGCAATATCGATATTTCAAATTGAAGATTTCCATGGTTCTATTTACATGGATTGTCGCAGAAGTATAATTTTGTTTCTTCACATATTTTTCATTCCATTATTTCCATTATCCACTTATTCGATTTTTTCCATCACCGACTGTAACTCGTGAAGCATTTTTTTCAACTCCTATACAAAAAATTAAATATAATATATAAGAATTAAAAAGGCACATTTATATTTCACATTTCGCCTCTCCTCAAATTTTCAGAGACATTATATATTTATATTTTCATTAGATAAATGAGCAGGGATGGCAAATAACGCGTTACTTGCTATCTCTGCAAATGAGGTATACATATGTATATATGTATACATATGTATATAATCAGACAATCATATTTAAATATAATATATAGGTCATAAAAAACTCTTTCTTTAGATATCCTTTTTATGAAAATTTTTTAGACATTTACGCGGGATGTTATGTTTAAGATTTATGTATCTCTAAAAACACATTCCAGTAATATATGATGCATTAACGAAATATTATATCTCGTTTCATGACGATATTTCAAATAAAATTGTTTGTGCATTATAAGTTCAAGTTAATGAGCTAAGCAACATTGAGATTACTATATGAAATATCCATCAACGCGATTATAAGGTTTAAAATAACGAACGGTATATAATCCTTCCCTATCGCATAATAGTCCAAACACGTACATCAACTAAAACTGAGAAATGCAATTCATATTAATGAATACTATTTACTCATCACATCGCATGCTTCATCTTCTTATTGTGTATAAAATTGCAGATCTAAATAATTTCTCTCACAAATAAATTCTTTTATAATATATAAATTATTATATAAAAATTGCGAAAAGTAATTAAAATACATAATTGTTATTTAGTTAAATCGCATATATATTATTTGAAAACAGATTTGTATTTTAAAAGTTTACATATTTATTTTATAAAATTGGATTTTGAAGTTGCTTTATGAAAATGAAAAATAAATTGAAGAAAATAAAAAAATATCTATCAAAAAATGACGTAATTAAGAACGAAATAACAACGGGATATTTTTTTAAAGTATATATATGTATATAAAGATTACCTTGATAAGTTAGTGATGTATGTATGAGGAGAGAGAAGAGAGGAGAAATTATTAATCAATGTATTAGGTTTAACATTTTTGTTGCATTTGTCCTTCAGAAGATGAAAGAAATTTTATGTTATACAAAAAGTTGAATCTAAATAAATGGTAAGTTTTTTATGTAAGTGTGTATTTATACACATCGTACAAAAACATATGTACAAAAAATATAATTTAATATCACAGTTGAGAGATAGTACAGAATTACTTTTAATTCGTTCCATCTGGTC